TCACTTGAAGACAGAAGAAAACTGTCTAGACTATGCATGATGTACAAAATGACTAATAAACTGGTGGATGTCCCAACTACTAAGTACCTAATACCAGCTCAGAAGAGAACAAGAAATAGCCACGCATTCAAGTACCAGAGTTATCAACCAAGGATTGAGGTGTTCAAGAATTCATTCTTTCCTAGAACTATCGCAGAGTGGATCTCACTGTCACCAAGCACAGTAGGGGCACTGTCAATAGATAGCTTTAAACAATGTCTAGAGCTAGAAGTTCAAGGGTTAGGTGTAACAAGTCGATCGGTGTAATATAGCCAGCTGCCGCCGCGCCGCGTGCCTGCGAAGCTGGTGTGTTACGCCGAAAGGCGGTTATACCGGCTATACAGATACAGATACAGAATTTTACTAATGACGTTGAATGACGTAACCTGGGTATGCACCTTGTAGATATCCATTCTTAAGTTTAGAATAGAATAGAAAAGACAATTACCGAAGGGCGTGTTTGTGTAGATTATAATTGGCGCGTGAGTCAGCCAGGGGAACCAGCCCGTCTGTGATTGGCCGGTTATTTTGGGCCTCAGCGCCGCGCCTATAAGTACTGACGTCACGCACGGAAGTCAGTAAATTCCAGCAGGTCGGCGGTGCGGCTGTGTCGCAACTGGCTGGCACGAATCAGAGTTTCCAAGAACCCTGAAGAAGAAAACGTGGTCCTTGGTTTAAAGCGTGAAGGTTAGTATAACGGGCTAGTGTACAATGTTAGGTAGCATGTAACGTTAGCAAATGTAGACGCTGTCAGTGTCGCCCACACTGTGACCAAATATCGGGTACGCGGGGAAGGGAGGGCTGTAGTTTTAGTTTTATGCCTTATGGTCACACCATGAGTGGGGTGCATTCTCAGTATTTGTTGCTTTAATCGGCTTGGTGGGTTTACAGATGCTCCAAAATTATGAAGTCTGGTAGCTGAACAAATCCCTGAACCCATGTTAGCGATCCAGTTGGTGAACAAAAAGCTTTGAAGCTTTGTCGTGTTGGTTGGTTTCTAGTTCGGCGGCTCCAATACTGCTTTGGTCACGTAGTCAGTCTTTGCAGAC